CTTGAACTGTAGGTTCCTTAGACACAGGTGTCCTCAGGAGGTGGTCCAAGGTGAGGATTTGTCACGGTGTGTGCACCTCTGGTGTGGCAGGAGGCTGTGTTGGTGCAGCTCTCCCACATCAGACAGGCTGGGGTCCTCATAGTTGTGTTTTCCCATTTATTTATTCCAAGTTTTATTTCTGGCCTTGAGGAAGCCAAAGGGGAAACAATTGGTAGGTCTTATCCTGAGCTTGAGCAATAGGGACAAACACAGGGGGTGTATCCAGGGATAGGAGCTCGAAAGCACCCCCAGGCTGGACAGCTTTGCTCATTAGCACACTTCTGATCAAGTTATGGAATAATTTAAGCTGGAAGGGACCTCTTGAAGGTCTCCAGTCCAGTCCTGTGCTCGAGGCAGAACTAACTTCAAAGTTAGATGGGGTGTTTTGGGGTAATCCCCAGCTGTGTTTTGAGAATCTCCAAGGATGGAGATCCTGCAGCCTCTCCGTGACCCACTTCCCTTGTCTGACCCTTCCCACTGGGATTTCTTTTATCTATTTCTTTTCCCCCTATTTTATACATGATTTCCTTAGATCTATCACTGTGACAACTGCTTGTTGTTTTGCTGTGCAGCTTCTGGAAGAGTCTCCCTGTGTCCTCTGTAAGCACATCCCTGTTTAATGCTTGTTCCCTGGGCTGAACCAAATCCAGTATTTAATGTGCTTCAGTCCAAATCACCTTGGTCATCTCTGCTGGACTTGTTCCATTCTCACACACTGTTTAAAAATAGGACTGCACAGAAATAGGGATGTTTCTTAGTACTGCTAAAAAAAGGAGAAAGATGAGTGCCTAAAATACAGAATTCTGTAAATAGAAAAATATGATTTTATTCAATCACTAAAATGAAAGGGCCCCTTGCAAGTTTGCCATGAAAAGATGTATTTTAAAGCAACCTTCTGTTCCAAAGAAAAATGAAAATGAATTTGGCAGTGGATTCCACAAATAAATTAGTAAAGATGCAAATGGCATGAAATGTAGAGTTTAGAGTGAAGAATGAAGCCTTAAATCTGCCTTCTTGAGCCGAAACCTTGTATCCTATTATATAATTTAAAATTATTTGCCATTCTGAAAAGGCCTTCATGGAGCTATAAAAATTTATGTCAGCTGACTGTCTGGCTCAGATAGTTGTGAACTATCTGCAACTGTTTTCCTGACAAAAATTGCAGTACTTGCAGTTCAGTTTAGTCAACTTCAGATTTATTTTTTCCCTGGTGGAGGTCCCCATCAAAACCAAGGCTGAAGGAAAAACTTCTGCTTTAAAACTGTTTGATCTCTAACCGCTTGTTGGCTTTGGTCTGCTTGTTGATGAGATGTGAATGCAACTTGGAGAACTTGATATTGCCAACAGTTTGGGAGGAAAAAAAAAAAGGCTCTTGCATATGGACTTTGTACCTTTGATGCCATTGGATGTTGCTTGGTTTTTTTGTGGGGAAGGAATTGCTGAAAGTCATCACTTTTGATCATTAAGTACTTTGGGGTTTGGTTTTTTTTTACAGCAAGACTTGCCATGAATTAATGTATCATTCTCAGTCTGCCTGAGACTCAGGTTCTTTTTTTTTTTTTTTTTTTTTGGCTAAACTTAAAATCCTTGATTTCTTACCCAATTTCAAGTGCACGTTGTTAACATGCAGAGTGTGAGTCCCAGAGATTTATTAAATGATTTCCAGGAGCTCTGCAGCCTGTCCAGGAGAGGTAGGATCCTGGCTGGGGAACATCTCAAGTTCTCAGCAGGCAGCTGATTTTCTCCAGGAAAAAAATATCCTGAGCTTTGAAGGGTAAAACAACTAAAGATGAATGCATTTAATTCAGAGGAAAAAAAAAAATTGTGTTTATTCCAAGAAAGGTTTGGGTTTTTTCCTTTTAGCAAATGTAATGGTGTTAAACACTCACAAGGCATGTGAGCCCCTCAGTGTCCCACCAGTACAGACCACTGAACCACTGTAGCTTTTGTTTCCCTTCACCTTAACCCTCTGTAATACCTGAAAACTTCAGCATACCAAACTCTGCTCTAAATAATTCATGTGTTTATTGATAAGCAAAAATGTTTTTCTACCTTCAGTTTATTTTAAACTGGACTTAAAGACTGAAGGAGAAGAATGTGCTGAAAGAATTCATTATGCTGCTCTATCAAAAAGCAAGAGTGGCATAGAAAAGAACTTGGTTTTGCTGGATGTTTGAATTATAATTTTAAGGACTGTCGGTAGTAGATTGAGCTGGAATTGATGACTGACCACAAAATTCAGTATGTGTGCTTTGAAGTTAGCTATTGGAAAAAAAATCTGTGATGGGCACATGTTTTAATTTAAAATTATGGAGATAGTTCTCAAATAAATGCAGAATTCATGAATAAAATGTGAATTATTTTTCTGGTGCAGTGATGTGCTTAGAAGACTGTAGCTGAAGGAATAAGTCATAAAGTTTTCCCTTGTGGAGACTTGGGGGGTGCAGTGAAAAAGAAAACTGAAGACTTCAAGCCAGGATCTGTGTAAAATAATAACAAAAGTATTAGCAAAGCAGTAGGACAGTTAATTCTGCAGGTGGAGCCCAGTCTTGAGCATCGCTGGAGTAAAATTCCCGCACATGATTTTTCAAAATGAGTATGCAAAATGCACGAGAGAGTGACTCTACTGACCACTTCAGAATTCAGTCCTGAGCAGTTATAAAAATAGACACTTCTAAAAATAGGCACTTTTAATTCAGCAACCTTATCTTATCAGTTGTGGTGGGGTTTTTTGGTGGTTTTGTTTTGTTTTGTGTGTGTGGTTTTGTTCAGGGGTTGTTCATTTGTTCAGTTTTATGATCTAGAGTTAAGTCATGCCCTGCCCTTGTTCCTTTGGCAGCCTCAGCTGGGCTGTGCCAGGAACATCAAGCTCATCACATCTCTGGTAAGAGCTGAGGAAGCATCACCTGCTCTAAAACCTCCAGGAGTTCAGACCTGAGAAGAAGTGAGACCAAGACTGGGCATCCTGCTGTCTGAGTGTGCCCTCATGTTTGGGCATGAGCTCTCTGCTTGTCCTGACAGAGCATTACTGTGGCATGATCAAGAGTGTTCAAGTCACAGAGCCAAAAAAGTTTCTGGAGACCCAGAAATTCCCTCTGGTTTTGATGGAGGTTTCCTGCACAGCAAAGCTCAAGGGCCAGAAAGCTGCCTAGAGACGCTGTGGAAAGGTGATTTGGAAAAATTGTCATCACAGCTTTAAAGTAAAAGCTGTCTTCTGGGAAAAAATACTCTGAAGTATTTAGGAACTTTCTAGAGACTTTTTTTTTTTTTTTTTTGAAACCAGCTAAGTGGGAAAAAAATAAATGGTCCACTGACCACTTGCTAATTCATCTGCATGTGCAGCTGCAAAATTACTTTTTCTGCCCATAGTGCAAAACTTCTTCCTAAATATGAGGTTTAGAGACCCTCTGGGACTAATTAACCATAATGCAGAAGCAAATCTGGGTTCATTGTAGGCACTGCTCATTTAAGAAATGTTTTTGTGCACAAAGCCCATTAGCAAATTTCCAAAACCTTCATAAATGTTAAACATTTTATTATAGGACTTTGAGCACTTCTTCCACTACATAAAATCTAATGTAATCCCATGAATTACTTTTAGCTTTTGATCCTGGGTAGCCAATTGCTGTATCACGTGTGCCACATTGCATTCAACAGCTAAAATCAGGCTTGTGTTTAGTAATTTATTTAACAGCAATAGAAACTCTTTTCTTGTGGATTAAACAAAAAGTTGAGGATATCCTCAAAATAAGTTGCATGCTACTGGTTTTATTCTACTTACTAGTCGGCTTCCATACATTGTTCTACTACATTGTGCTTTCCTTCTGTGATTTCAGTTCTATTGCTGCAAATGGATTTGAGGGTCTTGACTCCAACACAGGGGAAATGCAAAGCAAAGCTGCTGTTTTTCATCAGTTACACAGGACTGGCAGTCAAAAAGATTGAGTTCCTGAGGTTGTGATTTATCCAGGATTAGGAAAACGTGCCCTTAGCTTCAGTGGGTTTAGGCATGTGCCTGAAGTCAAGGGTACATTTAACTTGCCAAATTAGCTCAGTGCAGGAGGCTAATGGACTTCAGAGGCAGGATGTTCTCTGGCCTGTGTTACATGGGCAGTCAGGGGTTGTAATCAGACTTGCCCTCACTGTCAGCTACCTTGTGAAGAAGCATAAATCATGTGAGATGCTCTGAGGAAGTCTGTCCTGAAGGCTGTGTGTGCTGAGGGTGTCTGTGCTGGTGGGACTGGGCTTACTGGCCCGGCTGTGTGTGGTGCTGTGGATCAGCAGTGGCACAAAAACAGATGAAGAGGAGAAATTAGTGCTCAGCTTTTATGAAAGTCTGTCCTTTCTTTTCTCTTAACTCTTTGTTGCCTGTTTGTTTCAGGAGATTTACAGCAAAGCATCATATAATGTTGCCTAATACGTGTTGTGTCTTGCCCACCACTCATACCCTGATAGAAACCAAACTGTATTATTTATTATTGTAGGAGAACTTATCATTAACATCTGAGGATTTTTACAACACCTTCATTTTACCTCAGAATATGCAAAATATATACAAACCTTCCCATTTTAGGTAACGGAATACTCCGTGCTTGGCCACGCTGTCTGGATTGGTTGGAATTTCATGCAATTGCTATTTTACACAGCAGCAGAGTATCTGTGAAGTGGCTATCAATTGAAACATATTTTGCTCTTCAGACTTGCTTTTGCAGGTATCACAAAATGTTTAATTAGTGATAATCAGCTTTTAACCAGCCAGAGCACACTGATGTGATTCTCTCCCTCTCTGCCCCCCTAATTGTAGACATAGTCTGTACCCTTCAGATAAATTCCTTGCAGTCTGGAGAACATCCTAGTCAGCAGGAAGGGGGAGAATAAGAGTGTCAGTTGCATGGGGGATGAAGAAGGTGTTGTGTATACTGTGATTTCAGTGAAGAACGTCCTTTTTATTGACTTTTCAGAATGGTGAACTTGGAAACAAGCTGGAGATCGCAAAGTCTGCTTCCCCTCGAGGTTGCTGGTCAATGGTTGTCATCTACCACACCCAAGGAAACTAGAAGAGCTCCATGCTAACTTATGTAAGGATTTCTTCACCATGGAAGATCAAATGATTTCCTGGCTCAGGTTTTGTGATGTTCGGCATCTGCCTTGGACCCGCAATTCGGAAAAGGGCTCCTCTCTGAATCACGGTTAAGAGACAGCAAAAGCAGTCCCAGACAATGAGCACTTTAAGTAGCACTGGAATATTGCTCAGCTTAACGACAGTGTCTGTCACACTGGATTTCAGTTTGCATGATGGTCTGATGGCTTGGCCCTTAAGCAGCAATCTGACTCTGAATCAGAGTTTGCCCACGTCTGATCCTCTCAACGCCTCTGAGAAGGGCGAAGTCTCTCGGATGTCCGTGAGGGAGAAGAATTGGCCAGCCCTCCTCATCTTGGTTGTCATCCTGCTGACCATTGGGGGGAACATATTGGTAATTATGGCTGTGTCCTTGGAGAAGAAGTTGCAGAATGCCACAAACTTCTTCCTGATGTCCTTGGCAGTGGCAGACATGCTGGTGGGTATCCTGGTCATGCCCGTGTCGCTCGTTGCAGTCCTGTACGGTAAGTGGCTTCCCTCCTTGTTTGACTGTTTGGTTTTGCAGGGAGTCCCCTGAGGCTGCAGCAATCTGTTGTGCCCTGTTGTGGTTTTACCTGCTGTGATGTTTTTTCCTGTGCTTGTGGCTTGGGGTGTATCAGTGTGTACTTGGTTTTGGGTCTGTGCTGAGGTTCGTTCTCTGCTGGGAGCAGAGCTTGTTTTCGTGCTGCCAGGAGTGACCCAGGAACTGGTGTTACACTGTGGGGTTTTTATTGCTGAGGCCACCCAGAGAATCTGCAAGAGCAAGTCAGCTTTTGGTGGGACTGCCCCAAAATTAGGTGAGGACACAAGAGCTTAAAGAACAGCTGAGGAGATTGTTCATGACTGACCCAGCACTAAGCCAGGCCAGAAACAGTCCTTGAGCTCCCACTGTGATCAGTGGGATTTGAGCAAGGTGGTTAAGAAAGAAGGTTTGCAGTAGTAGATTTGACATTCAGGTAAAAGCCTTTACTCTTGGCCTTTGTACCTCAGCTTACCTTGTGCCTTCCAGGGGGTCATTTTGCCTTTCCATGCCTCAGTTTCCCTATCTCTACCCTGAGAATAGTTGTGGTTTTTTTTAAACACTCAGAGGCCTGCTTGTCTAGGTGTGAGCATTTATTTCTCCCCTACCATATTAGGGTTGGTGTGTTTGCAGTAAGTGGGGCATTGCTCCTCCACTCCAGTGTGGAATCACTGTTAGCACTTCAAGCAAGTAAAATATCAAACACATCAAACTTCCATCTGGTTGAGACTCCAAATCTGCTTTTTTTTGTATGGTGCTGGGTCTCTCCTTCCCTGGATGTCACAAAGGGATATTTCATTCTCCTCTGTATCTCTGATCATCGTGTTTGTATACTCATGTATCAATATAATCTGTGCATGTTTAATAGATAACAATTATTCATTTTTTAAGTCTTTAAATCTGTTCAGATTTTCTTTGAAAAATATTTTAATATTGATATTTCTTGGAAACAAATAATGTTGTTTACTTACAAATTTGATTAGAAATTGGCTTACTGTCCTATAAAGTAAAATGTAGTGATATTTATCTGACTTCTTTACTTGCTAAATGATGAAGTCTGACAGAGATTAATTTCTAAAACACATTGATCAAGCATACATCATTCCAAAACTTATATAACTTGTCTACAGTGAGTTAAATCAATACATGATTTAGGTGCAGACCTAGCCATAGAGATCTTATCCACAAAGCCTTTTATTTTGAACTGTCAGAATAGTTCCATCTCTAAATCTTGTGTGTATTACAACATGTGTATTTTATTTTTAGCATTTTACTCCAGTTCCCTGGAGCTTGAAAGGGAGCATATAAATACTGAATTATGTGACTGACCTGCACTTGCATAAATTCTGTGTTACCCAGTGACTCTAAAAAGGTGAATTTATGGAAGTGGTCTTCCTCCATACATACTTTCAAGGTCTTTGGAAACTAATAGAAATGGATTTTCTGTTCTGCCCTAGAAAATGATTACTTGAGGTCGTTTAAAGGTGTAAAGCATCCTGCATATTTAGCAGGAAGGAAATATCATTTATTTGAAGAGGAATTGTAATTATCCCTCTTTTCTACCAGAGCACCAGTATCAGCTGTTGATAGCCCAAACACTTCTCCACAGACAAACAATAATAAATAGATTTTTTTTTGGCAAAACTTGTAATTTCAGCACAGACATGGAAAATTTGTGGAAATACTGTGAAAAATGAGGAGGCTGCTGGAGCAGTGCTGGGTGCTGGCATTGCTCCCTGGGGCTGGACCAAAGCAGGAATGTTGCTTTCAGGCTTTGTGAGGGAAGGAAGAGAAGCTCCATTAGGGGAGAACTGAGGCTCTGAGGAGCTCGTGGTTTGATTTGAGTAGGACCCCTGTGCCATCACTTTTTTTATATTATTTAAGCTACAAATTCACACATCAGCAGAATTCTTGTGAGAGTGCCTGGGGTTCATGGCCATGAACTGAGCAGAGAGTGTGTTACTTCTTGGAAATATAACTGTGAATGTTCAGCCATTTTTACTCTGTATATTTTACCCTGTGCATTCTACATAATTTGGCACTGGGCTCTTTCAAAAAAGCTGCCATATGCTGTACTGAGAAATGTATGCAGCACATCTCTTCTAGATTTGTGGAAGTCACTTCTAATTTATGTAATCAGAAAGGAACCTTAAAAATACATATAATAAATAGAAGACTGATGAAGTTACTTTTAAGTTTCCACATCAGGTCTCTCAGCCCCAGTGATAAATTCTACTTGACAGAGTAGACTCATTTCCTTACTTTTCAGCTAATAAGGTAAATGAAGTAGATTTCACTTGAAGCATAACGAGAAAATTGAAGCGACACCCTCCACAAATACTTGTGGTTTTCAGTGGTTTTCTTAATTAAGAGAAGGAAAAATCAAGTTGTAAGTTAGTTCAAGAATCTTATTATAAAGGAAGCGATGGCAGAATGCAGCATGCTGGATTTTTCACCAATTAATGAGGGCTCTGATATATTTATCAATTAGTCTTTCTTAAGTGTCTTACACTAATCGATGAGTTGCCTTTGACAACTTAGAACATTTTCCTGGCACGCAGTTCCTAAAGAACTAAGCAAATTAGTATGCTAATTAATAAGCATGTACTGGGTAGAGCAAATGAGAAATGTACACAGAGTTTAATCTCAGTGGAGAAACATCTGATGAATTAAAAATACTGGTGTGATAGGGCATCAGGTATCTTACACATAATGGAGTTTCTGGCGACAGATGGAGTTTATCTGTTCAGCTCTGAGCACTTTGGGGATGAGCACTGGTGGGTTGATGTGGGGTTTTGGTTTACATCATGTCTAGTGTTTATGGGCAAGAAAGAGAGGGCTGCTCTTTATCTGTCAGGACTAGTGGAGGAACACAAGAGAGTCTTGTCAGCTGCTCCAAGTGGACATTACAGAAGATATTAAACCTTCTTGGTTGTGATGCAAAAGGTTCACAGCTGCCAACAGGCTGTCAGAGTGTGGCCAACAAGCGACCAATAGACCCATCTGTGACTCCAAGTGGAGGCTTCTCTCTTTCTTTGGGTTTCAGACAGTGCTGTAACACTGTGGGCAGATGCAGCTTCCAGGGAGGCTGGTGCTGGATGCAGACTCATCAGCCCCAGCTGCCAGAGAAGCTTTACATCCACATTATTGTTATTATTGACAATTACCATCATTATCCTGTGATGACAGAGATGTTCTGAGTGCTTGGGTAGACTTGGATGTTGATTTCCCTGCAGAGGGGGGAAGCAGGGCAGTCCAGCATCTGATATGATGTTCAGCTACCTAGAAATGGTCAGGCATTTTAAAGCTCATGTCAAGGCAATGGGCTTGGATGCATCTTGACTACACCAAGTTCCAGATGGCAGCTGCATTACCTTCAGAAATTATTATTTATACATGTTAGTTTTAAATGCATGATGTTTCTGTTTGTACTAAGTAACCACTGCATTTTATTCTTCTGCTAGGGTGTAAGTGAATGGAAACTCTCACTCTTCTTGTACTATCTACATCATAAACTCAGAGATGGGATTTTTTTTGTCTCTCCAGTGACACCTTGTACTTGGGGTGTGTGTAGTGAAATTTATATTCAACGAGATGTATCTGGTTTTTATCTTTTTCCATCAGAAAAAAACCCCAACACATAAACTGCTACATTATGTGCTCTTCCAGCAGCATTTATTCTCTTTTGAAGTCCCCACATCTTTCTTGTAACCTGAGCTAACCTGTGAAATCTAAAAACCTGCTGCATCATTATTCACCCTCCTCCCAGACTATTAGATACATAGAAAACTTTAGTTCAGATACTGAGGGTCCTGCTACTGAATTTTCTCCACATGAACAACTGCCTGTTTACCTAATGGGACAAATGGGATTAAGTTGTGATGTATCTCTGTTGCTGTTGGGAAAGAAAGCTCTCTGTGGTGTGGCTTGAATCCATGTAACAGCTTCTCTTCTACTACCCAAGGTTTAAATTGTACTTAGAGAGGAGGAGGGGAATACTAAATACCCTCTTGGATATTCTCTGTATCTCACTGAGTACAGGACCCTGGTGTAGATAAATGTTAACTTACAGGACTTTCTTATGATGATGCTCTGCTTGATCACATTTGGAAACATTAGTCCTACACAGCTTTGGCTTGCATTGGTGGAAAACTGATGTTTTCTGGTCAAGAGGAATGGGATTATTCTCATTGCTGGTGAAGTATTTTTGCAGCATGTGGGAACCCAAGTCCCCCATTCTGCCAGCTTTATGATGATCTGTTGCACAAAAATTAAAAATTAAGCCAGTAAAACAGTAAGCACTGGGGCATATCAGACTATACTTTAAGCCATAAACTAGGACTTCTGTCTTTAAAATATATATTTTTAATATAAGTCTATTCTTGCAAAAATCAGAAAATTCTCATGTTTATTCTAAAGCTGAATGACAATGAGTTTCCAACCCTGCAACACTGCTGAGAAGCTCAAATTCTGTCCAGCACATTCAAAAAGCAAAAGCCACTCCAGAAACTCTGGAACCTGGGGGGAACAGGAGTGGGTTTCTGTCATCAGGAGCACCTTCCTCCAAAGAAGAGGCTCAGTGTGTCCATCTGACAGCTATACCTGAGCTCCCAGGTAACTCCCTATAACTTCTTGCTGTTACTTCAGCACTGCTCAGGTTTATTAGAATCTGGCAAACCATTCCTTCTTTCCAGGAGGAAAGCAGAGGACCCCTTGCCTCAGATCTCTAATCTTGCTTCCCGTGCTGCTGAGCCCTGGATGACGCGGCGAAGGGTTTTGTTGTGCAAAGATAATTTTCAGCAGAGTAAATCAAGGCCAGCCTTCAGAGGGAGTCTGGATGGCACCTTGCTTACCTGCTGTGGGTAGGGCCTGGCAGTTTTGTGCCAGGTCCCTGTGACTCATCTGAGCTCAGCTGTAACCCACACTGCGGAGCGTTAGTTTACGGGACTCTGAAGGGCAATTTTT